ACATAGAACACGTGTGCGGCACACCCCTCCATAGTTTACCGGTCAAATTGTCGCGGCGCTTAGGCGAAGCCCTGCGCGGATCACTTCACCATCACCGTCACCACGCCATAGTCCTGACGGAACTCATCTACTTCCTCGACACCTTGCTGGATCAAGAGGGCGAGCAACGTCATCGAACTGAACGTGTGCAGAACTCGGAGGTGCCATACGTTCGGTACTTGATTGGTCGGAGCTAGAAGAAGTTCAACTATATCAACCGCGTTGTCTAACGCTTCCGCTTTCGGTCTATGAGGGTACGTGGACTCTCTCTCTCTCTCTCTCTCTCTCTCTTGTTGCTATGCATCTCCTAGATAAATCTTGCGTGAGCGTAGATTTTTTTTTTTTGAAATTGCATGCTACGCTTGACCTGGTGAATTCAGCAGGTCAATCTCCTATGAAGAAGACCAAGATGGTGTCTACACCTCCACCTGTTGTGATCCTGAATAGCTTCAGTGGCGTGGATGTTGTCTCATGATGGCATTGAGTGACATTATCTTCAAGTGCTTATAAAATGCTACTTGTTTGCTATGTATGGATGATCAACTCCATCATGTAGCATTTATTTCCCTATTTTCCTTTAAAAAACTACTAGCTTGTAATAATTACTAAACTTGATGGTTTCATTTTTAGTGGAACTGGGAGGGCTTGCACACCCCTAATGATTTAAAAATGTAACAATACTGTTTTCATAGGAGATAAGAACAATGAAAAAATCTAAAAATATAGCTACACTGATCATCACTAAAATAAATCATCCTTTTTTTCGACAATACACAAAAGCCTTGTGCTTCAATGCATTTATAGAAAGAACAGTTTGGACAACTCGAGATGATTGCCATCGCCCATAGCTTAGCCTCTGTCTCAATCATGTCAAGGAGGTGATAAAGCTGAGTTGAGTGTTGTTGAAGATGACCGCATTGCGACGATTCCAGATGCACCATGACACCAACATGATGGCCAAGAACATGCCCATCTGAGCTGACGTCTAGACGAAATGACATGTTTAATGCCACCAATCAATGTACTGAGACTTGGTAAAAGGAATTAACTATAATCTTGTAACATAGAATGTATGGAAGTCAAGGTAACCAACAGATCAATGATAGGTAGCACATTTGTTGTTATCGGAAAGTGCACAAGGTACTACTACTACTGGTTTGGTAGGGGGTTAATTCATTCTTGTTGTAAAACCACAATGCTCACATAAAGGGGCCTCTGAGGTTAGATTGTTTCTTGATTGATCGATGGAGGCAAGGGAATAGGCAAAGAAAACATAGGTAGTGTGCTCACTATGTGTTTGTCGAGTGGCTAGAATGATTCCTCAGGGGTTATTTGCTTTTTCCTGGCCTCTAGTTAATGCCTAACATACTACCCTTTCGTCTTTCAAGATTGAAATGACATGCAAAAATAATGTAGTGAGCAGAATAGTAATTAGAATCAAGGCAAGGAAATAGACAAAGCAATTATATGGAATGATTTTTTTTAGCCGGCGACATGAGGAGAGGGTGATTAGGGTTGGTCCTGCAAGTGGTTCGTCACCTTTGGTTGGCCTTTGATATTCAACCTAGTTAGTTGGCCTTCGATATTCAACCTCATACTCCTCTTCTATGTACAAAATATTCATCCACAAAATGTGACAAATCCACTAGCTATTCTGCAGTCTTTTCCCTTTGTGATTTTTTATCGTAATCACTCTATTCTTCTTTCTAAACAGAGCAGACTACTAGGAACATATGGGGGATAAAAACACTTTAAGTTAATTTGCAGTGGCTTATAAAACTCGCCAGACATATTTTTTCAATTACTGGTCCTATATATACACGTCAATTATTCATAGTAATTAGAATCATATTTTAACTAGTTCCTATTATATTAGAACACTCATCCTGATCCCTTGCAAAAAAAAGGAACAATCACCCTGACTACACATGTAATTTTTGGACGTAAATGTTTATAACTACTACAGGGCAGCATTAGTTAGCTTAGCTAGGCTATATGCCATGTGACGCACACAATCAAAAAGTTTGATCAATCTCTTCTAGTTGGAAAGCAATTACTGCTTTGGGGGTACATAAATCTGATTTTTTGTTTACAATTTGTGTGAACGTGTTAGCTCACCAGCGTCAGGGATAAAATAAGCAACTATAGTCAGCCCTGGATATGTGGGACCGCATTCAGTTAACGTATTGGAAAAAGGAAAGTGCTCTGCACACGATTGGCTCTTGGACCATTTGCGGCCAACGGGGTTAGGAGCCACACAGATTAAATAATCTAGCTAATCCTATGGTCTACCTGACTTGTTGTCTATGGATCGTGCGTCCATACATCATGTGCATAGCAGTGCTCTTTGAAAAAATTGGCAGAACTTTAGTATTTTCAATTCGCCCTACATTATAGGATAATCTATGTACATTATTTATTGTTATTTCTTAACGTGGTAACAAATTAATAGTAGATGGTTTATTGGATGATGTACAATTTTGAATAACCATCTAACTTTGGAACAAAATAAATTGCCAAATTAATTTTGGCAATACATAGCTAAAATAAGCATATCCGGATAAGATGCATGGGCCTCTTGAGAGAAACCAAAGTTCTTTGCTATGGATATGTGTTCCCTCGGTCCATTATAAGCACTTTTTAATGAAAGAAAATACTTGGTTTGATGATGCATTTATGAAGATAGCGCACCTCCTTATTTTGTGAGCATGGAGTTAAAAGTTTCTCGATATAGCCTCCCCATCTTGGTCGATCCTCCACTATAAATCAAACCTCCCCACCTGGCCAAAACCAGCAACCTAATTTCCATTTCTCATTTTATCCCTCCGTTGGCAATGGCTCGCAAGAAGATTGCCCTCCAGTACATCAAGAATAAGTCCAGCCGGCGCCGTACCTTGGATACGCGCATGAAGAACCTGGCAAGTAAGGCACGCGAGCTTTCTATTCTATGCAACGCCAAGGCCTGCGTGTTGGTGTACGATGAGGGAAATGCGGCGCCAAAGGTGTACCCATCGCACGCCGAGGCGGTGGATCTCCTGAATAGGTACAGAACCATGGCAGAGGGGCGGTTCAAGAAGACGGTGAACCAGGAAGACTTCCTCAGCCAGCGCCTCAGCAAGCTCCAGGTCGAGGAAAACAAGGTACGAGACCCCGAGATTAGGATCCTGCTACACAAGGCCATGCTCGGCAGCGACCTCCCCGATCTCAAAGTCCATGAGCTCACCATCGTCAGTAGTAGGCTGGAGGAGATCCTCAAGAGCATGGGCGAAAGCATCGCTAAAATTAGCGGACAACCCCCTGTCTTGCAGCCCCAGGTGCCATACATCCCCGATAACATGGACATGGGCGGGTCTTCGGCAATGTATCAGGCGTCCCAGCCAGCTCCATACGTCACCAACAACAGGGACATGGGGTCTTTCGCCATGAATCAGCAGTCGTCGCCCACTCCATACGTCAGCGGCAGCATGCACGTGGGGTCTCCAATGATGTATCAGGTGCCGCCACAGCATGAGAGTTGGCTCGACAAGGTGAGATCTGGAAGGGACCTCGACGCCCTGGCCCACAATGGCTATAACACCGCTAGGCATGACAGCGCCGGCACCAGCGCCGGCGCCGGCTATAGCACCAATGGGCACGATGGCGCCGGTACTAGCGCCAACGCCGGCTCTTCCGGTGGGATGAAGTCCTTTGATGTGGGGTTTGGTTGGCAATCGGGCGGCGTCGATCCTGAAGAATCATCTTGGAGTCTTTTCCCTCCCATGTAAGGTAGGATGGAGAGAAGTCTTTTCCAGTAGCGTGCATTGAGCTACGTGGGTCTCGTCTTATTTGATTTAGCCTGGCATAGCTAAAAGGCAGGAAAGGCAACCTTAATAAGTTGATACATTCTGTCTCTCTCAATGGTGCTCTTTGAGCCTAGACATTTTTATTCTAGTAGTTGAAATTGTTGTTATGGATTTCTTCCATGGTCGCCATTTTTATTTTAGTCGTTGAAACTGTTATATGAGATCTCTTCCATGGTCTGTTTGCTTAATCTGTGTTGTTCAGTTGGTCGTAACTCGTAAGTTGCGCCTGCTCTCTTTTTTTGAAAGATCCAGCACCTTGCTGGCATTTCATTGATTTAGCAGAGGAGAAAAGTTTAAGAACGAGTTACAGAAGTTTCGCCTACACCCTGCCCTAAGGCAGAAAAACATAAAAGGCTAAAATCTCCCAGTCGGGGGCCCGAAAAGGCACTCTAAACTCTTTGGCCCCGCGATGCTCCAGAGCTCTAGCGATCGCGCTATCCGGCTGAGAATATCCTCAGCTGATGCAATTTTCCCCTTGAAAATGCAATCATTTCTCTCCCTCCATATCTCCCAGCAGGTGAGCATGATGATGGATGCCGCAGCTTTGCAAACATCTGCAGGCATCGTTGCACCCTTTGCGTTGAGTTTCCCGTGTTGTTCCAGATACCAGGGTTCAGAGGGTCGCAGCCGTTCCTGGTGGCCATCTTCCTCCAAGTTTCTCTTGCCAAGTTGCACTCCCAGAATTTGTCAACATGTTTTTATGAGGTATACTATTTTTCGATAATAAAGTTTTTATTTACTCTTAACATGTGAGCGATCCAAGTATGAAGAGTCCACTCCAATTTTGACGTATCTAGATGCACACAATCTATACAAAGCCAAAATAATTGTGGAAACAAAAAACATAACATTGTTTGACACAAAAAGAAGAACAATTGAAAGCAATCTAAGCCAGATCCAAAGTGAACATCGTCTATGTTCGGAAACAATCTCCATAGCCGTCAGCTCCATCTTAATACATGCCACCAGATATAAAGAGCTCCCAGTGCTCCGGATATTGTAGTACGAGCCAAGTACGGAGCCAATGCGTACATAAGTTAATAACCGACAGTGGAGAAAAATATCTTCTATTTGTCAAAACCGTACCATTCATGCATAATCATAGCGCCCAGACCAGGGCCCCCATGCCTACTAAGATAAAAGATCTCGTTTTTTATGTATACCTAAAAGCCAATTACCAAACAAGTTTGGAAAGCTTTGGGCGAATACAAGTTATGCATGACATGTATTATAATCCATACAACATGAGCGTACTTGCTCAAAGAATATATGCTTAATTTTCTCATCATGATAGTAGAAACAACATTACTACTCCCCTATCAGTTTTTCTTTGCTAGAGTTTCCCTCGTTAAGATGACCCCTCTAGGTAAATACCATAGGAAAAACATAAATCTTTGGAGGAACCTTAAGCTTAAAAATCAACATATTGTTAATCGGTGCATCAATATTCATAAGAGCTAGTACAACGAGTTCATAGAGAAGAGTCCATCTTGATGTAGAGTCCATCGAAACTCGTATGTCTCGTGCTACTACCTCCATCCCAAACTACAAGACATTTTTGCAATTCAAATTTGAACTTCAAAAGTGTCTTATATTTTGGTGACAGAGGTAGTATAAATTAACAACATTCATACACTCCAGTAGATCCTTCCATGCTACTAACAAAGTCCTAAACATGTCATGTCTGAAGTCCACATCTGGCAGAAAGCTACCCAACACCTCTGCTATTATAACATGTTGATGACACGGTAAAAAACCTAGTTACTAGTAGATGCTAAGGCGGAGCATTGCCCAACTATAAGTCATGCCAAAACCTAACATGCTAGTCATCCTTTGATAGTGAAGGTACGAACCAGAAAAGGTGTTGCCAACCCAAAAGTGGAAGCCCCCAAATTTACTTTGGACTTGGGACAGAGCCTTAGAGTGCATATATTTATTACCGAGTGTATCATGCGATCACTCATACTCGGTAAGAGTCCTAAACAACCATTTACTAAAAAGCATGATAGTTTTGGCCACTATATATTGGATACTAACTAAGCCACATTATTCTTCATCAACGATAGAACCGAATACGCCAAAGGGGGTCGACCCGTCCAGAGAGAACCAAAATTATTGTAATAAAAATTTCAAAAGGTAGGTAGCAATCCGCGAGGCATTCAGAGACCACTGGATTTGAATGCATGCCCACCAAGAAATGCTAAAGGGGCAATTGAAATGAGGTGCTCAATGGTCTCTTCATCAATAGCAGTACATAGGATGCAAGAATAATCAATATCAACAGTGATGTGTTTCCCCTTCAGCATATTTCGTCTATTAAACCTATTAGAAATAAGTAGCCACACAAATACTTCCAACTCAATTTTGGCACTTGGAAGAAAGACATCGTGCAAATAACCATGTTAGAACTCATAGAGGTGATAAGAACCAATCCTATCTAGAGGAAAATATCTTCCCTTTACAACTATCGAGACACTTTACATTGTTTCCTCCAGGTGTTTCCTTAGTAATCTACCATAACTAGGAAATATCTGTTAATGACACAAATTACCATTCAATTTACCTTTGACATTTCATATTTCTCAGTGTCTCTTATTATGGAATGCATATGTAAATGGACATGTAAAGGAGACTGTAAGAGGTGCAGGAATGCTTCAATGTTCGTGACCGAGCACAATGAGAATGTCATGGAAATGGAGAGACAAAAATACAAGTTATAAGGATATAAGGTGAATGGGTACAAAAGGAAATAAAGTGACATACCAGTGATGAGTTATGGTTGGAGCTATAGGTGACAAGTTTACAAGGTTAATATATTTTTGGTTTACAAGTTGGATCTATATATGTTGTCACATTGGCTAAATAATTTGAACAATGGAACATATGTGTTTTACGTTGCATTCAATACTAAACACACAATTCTTCCATGTTTTATGGATTTCAAATGGGTATGCCTATACTGTGGGGAGGTAAGTGCAATGCTTTACATGTTTCTAGGGGAGCGTGCCAAGAATGATAGTAGGTAAAATGAATTTATAGGGCCGTACAAACTGAATTCTAAATTAAAGGTAAGTAGAAAAATCAAGGATGGACATGAGGGCTAGATTTCTTCGACACAAGATTAAAAACAATATGATTGGTTTGCCAATATGCAAGTAGGATTTGCAAAATTATAAAGATGCTGGTGATTGGGTAAGGTGAGTTAGACCAATAGATCTATGAATATCCATTTTTATGAGGCCATAAGGTGGATACATGTTGTTAGCCAGTTCAAATGACATTCATGGCCAGCTACGTGCATCTCGTCTGGTTTGATTTAGTTTGGCATAGCCAAGATGCAAGAAATGTAGCCTTAATAAGTTGAGACATTCTATCTCGCTGGTGCTCTTTGAGCCAAGTCATTTTTTATTGTAATAGTTGAAATGCTGTTATGGATCTCTTCCATGGTCCATTTATGCCATTTTTATTTCTTGTTGAAACTGTTATTTGGGATCGCTTCCATGGTATGTCTGTTTGATCTTTGTTATTCAGTTGGTCATAACTTGTAAGTTGCACTTGCTCTTTGGTCAACGTGTTTTTGTGAGGCATACTATTTTCTAGTAAGAAAGTTTTTGTTGGCCCTTGACGTTTACTCTGATTTTGAAGGAACTACATGCACACAACATGTACTAAGCCATAATATTCTTGGAAATGAAAACATGTAACGTTATTTGACGCAAAAAGAAGAACAATAGCAAGCAATCTAAGATAGATTCGAAGACAACACCTTCCATGTTTGGAAAAGACCTTCTTAATCGCCCTCTCCATCTTAGTACATGCCATCGTAAAGAGATCCATGTGCTCCAAACACTGTAGTACATGCCAAGTACGGAGCCAGTGTGTAGACAAGTAAATGACTGTGGCAGTGAAGAAAATATCTTCTATTTGTCAAAACCACATCATTCTTGTATAACCATAACGCCCAAACCAAGGTCGCCGCAGCTACTAAGATAGAAGATCTCGTATTTTTATACCACCCAACCAATTACCAAACAAGTTTGGGATGCTCCGCGTAGAATACAAATTATGTGCGGCATGTATTATAGGACATACACCATGTGTACTTACAGTCAAAGAATATGTGCTTGCTTGTCTCGTCATGAAACTACATTGTCCCCCCCCCCCCCCCGCCCACCAGGTTTTCTGTGCAAGATTTTCCCTTGTTAAGATGAACCTTCTACGTAAATGCCATAAGGAAAATATATCTTAAGCTTCTAGATCACCTTATTGTTAATAGGTGCATCTGTACACACAAGTGCATGGCACAATGAATTCATGGAGAAATTCCCATCTTCATGTAAAGTCCATCAAAATTTGTATGTCCCATGTTATAAATTACGAACATATAGCCACTTCAGTAGATCCTATTCCAGGCTACTAAGTTATAATCATGTCATGCCAGAAGCTACAAATGTCGTTCTAATCATGTCATGTCAGAACCACAAATGGGTGCAAGTTACCCACCACCTCTGCTATTATGACATGTTTATGATGCAGTATATGAAAAAGCCATAAGCAGTAGGAACTAATTAAGGTGATGCCTTTCCCAACCATCACCTATGACAAAACCTAACATGTGATTTGTTATTGCTAACGAAGGTTCCAAACTAGAAAAGGTGTTGCCTCCTCGTCATCGAACCAACCCAAAAGTGGTACCCCATATTTACCATGGACTTACCTTAGATCCCATTTATTTATTACATAGTATATCATGTCTTAACTCGCCTCATTAGGAAGCTTGAAGAAACCATTAATTGAGAATGATGATATTTCGCCAATATATACTGGATGTCTATGCCACCTTGATTTTTGGGGCAACGTGATAGATGTTGGCCACTCCCGAGGTGGTTGGCATGTCTACAAAGACTCAACATTGATGTAAT